GCCCGGCCCGATGAAGCCCGATGTATAACTATATCTTTATATTTATGAGAAAAAAAAGAGAACTATGAAGTTATGAACAAAGAAAAAGAGGAAATATAAAAACACATCAAAATAGGCCTCATATTTATGAAAAAAAAGACAAATATCTTTACATAATAATTAATACACAAACACCTAATCCCGCCTCCTTTGACAATAATGACACTTGAAACTAACATTTCCTCCAGCTTGATTGAGCATTAGAGCACTCTGGAATTTCATTAATGTGAGCATTGGCTCTCATTAATGTGAGGCTTGTGACAAGGTCCTCGTAGTTAGAGCACTTTGGAATTTCATTAATCAGGTCACATTCCTCCATATAGGCCTGTAAGTCGTGTGCACTCTGATCATTAGGGTTTGCTACAGCATATGCTTGATCCTTGAGGAAAGCTAACTGTGCTTGTAAGTTGACCACCTGAAAAGTTCAAACCAAAAGCATATACTCATCATTTACTTCAACATACAATCTGAACATACAAAGGGTACTAAATGATTAACCTGCTGTTTGAGAGCAATAATATGTGAAACACAGCCATATATGGGATCTTGAAGCCTGGCTACAGCTTCATGCCATATTGTCGTTGCGGCCTCACATCGATCGCTCAACGGAAGGTGAGCTAAAAGATTCGACACATTGCTTGCGCCAAAAACCTTGTGGATGACAGAAAAATGGGTAGCTCCCTCTTCATAGGAGAAATAAGGCTCAAAAATACACCCTATCACACATTTTCTTCTTAAGAACTTGCAGGCTCCACAGGGAGAACGAGAACTAGCCATGGTTTTGATGATCTTTTTTGTTGGTGATTATTGCTGGCTAATCTCCTAGAGAAAGAGGAAGAGCGACTCAGTAGGGGAAGGGAAGGAGAAAATTAAAAAATATCAGTCACAGTGGAAGGGAATAATTGAGGGAAAGCGAATAATTGAAGGCATCCAAAGCGAATAATTGAGTATATTTGAAGCGAAGTTTAGGCCCATTTCGGCCCGGCCCGTTGGGCTTAGCCCGGCCCGGCCCGATGGGCTATTTCAAGCCCGACTCATGGGCTGGGCTTGGGCTTTGAATTTTCTAAAAAAGCCCAGCCCGACCCGGCCCGATATTTTCTCTCTCCTCTTTAAAGCCCGGCCCGGCCCGGCCCAAGCCCATTAAATTTGGGACGGGCTAGCCCGGCCCGGCCCATTGACGAGCCCTAGGCTGATATATGGTACCGCACCCATGTCATACAAGATTGGTACGGTACGGTATGATACCATATTAATTCAGTAGGTATACGGTATGGTATTAAACGGTATGGTATGACATGGTATCGGTACGGTTTCGGTATATACAGTATAGATGCCCAGCCCTACCAATAACCATAAATTGACGAATCAAAAGCAAAAAAAAAAATCTCAATAATTATATACACACACACCTACAATACAAAGATGAAGTCAAGAAAAAGA